GGCGGCCCCGCGCCCGGCCCGCGCCTGCCGGCCGAGGCGTGCAAGCTGGCGCTCATGGTGCTGCTCATCGTGGCCATCACCCTGGGCAACGTGCTGAGCCTGCTGGTCTTCCTGCGCGCCCCGCAGTTCCGGACCTCCCAGGGCTACCTGAAGACCTCCCTCGCCCTGGCCGACCTCACCGTGGGGCTGGTGGTGGTGCCCTACTCCGTGTACAGGGAGGCCAGCGGCCTGGCTGCCAGCCAGGGGCCTGTGGGCGCCTCGGGCTTGGGCCAGTCTCTGCCCTGCTTCATCACCGGGCCCATCTTTGCTGGCTGCACCTTCGTGTCCATCAGCACCATCTTCCTGCTGTCGGTGGAGCGCAGCGTGGCAGTGCTGAAGCCCCTGCACAAGAAGGCGGTGGTCACCAAGCGCCGCACTGTCTGGCTCATCTTGCTCTCATGGTCCATGAGTTTCTCGCTGGCCGTGGTCCCCCTCTTCTCCAGTCCGGACATCACCCTGCGCTACAGTCCCTGCAGCAAGATGTGCAACTATGCCTTCCCTGAGGCCAGGCTGCCCGGCTCCAGCTGGAACGTCATGCTGCTCTTCCCAGCCTTCGACTTCTCCCTTCTCGGGGGCACATTCGCCATCAACTTCATCACCTTTGCCGCCATTCGCCACTACTGTAAGGCCCGGAGGCAGCTGGGCAGCGAGGTGCAGGGGGGCAACCGGCTCTCCTTCTCAGATATCACCGCTGCCAAGACCATCGGCATCTTGACCTTTGCCTTCTCGGCCTCCTTCAGCCCCATCGCTGTCTTTGTGGTGGGCTCCGTCCTGGGCTACCAGTGGTGCCAGTTCTCCTTCTATGCCTTCTGGATTTTGACCTCCAACAGCTGCTGGAACGTGGCCATCTACAGTGCCTGGGACCCCAAATTTAGGCAGGGGGTCAAGGACCTCTTCAGTAAGCGGATGCTGAAAGCTGCCTCCCAGCGTGCCAGCAGCGCTGCAGAGGGGGATTTCTCTTCTCCTGCCTGCGTGGCTGTCCTCAAGGAGATGTTTCGGCCGGAGAATGCTTGACAGGACATTAGGCTTTGTCAAGAAGGCTCTAGGTTCCTACCACAGACACCGTGGCAGCCACAAGAGTGCATTGTGATTTGGGTTTGTAGTAGCTCAGTCCTGCTAGTCAGTGCAGACAAGGAAGTCTTTGGCAGGGACCTGTGTTTTGTCCAGAGCTATCATGATGGGAGATCTGGGTGAAAACTATTTAATTTCTGTTGTCCTATGTGCATGAAGAGGCAATGACTGTTTCATTCTTGCAGTGCTAGGTTTTCTTGCCACACGGACTGTGTTTGCTCATGTGCATGTCTAAAACATAAGCAAGCCCAGGGAAAG